TTTTTTAATTATTAACTATTGTTATATCATTCTTGGTCTGAACAGTTAACAAAATGGCTTAAATCTCTTACAGCACCTTTAAATTAGGACTTGTACTCCATTTTAGCTTTTAAATAGTGACTAGTGTTATATCTTTACCGCAGATGAAGATTCAAGTCACCAAAGACATACGAAGTGGAATCCCACTATGGATTATAATCCTTAGTATTCTAATAGGACTTTTAATTCTGGCACTTGTCATCTTTGCTTTATGGAAGGTAAGCTTTCTAATTTGCTTATGTTAATTCCTCTGCACACTCACAGTACCACAATGATGCTGAATGTTGACTATGTTGAATGCTCTCCTCCAGGCTGGCTTCTTCAAGAGAAAATCAGTCGAGGACATGAAGGAAGATATGAAGGACTCTAATTGAAGCCTGTGGATCTGTAGCCTCCACCCCTCAGGTCAACTCATACTTCACCGCTAGCCAAGGTCATGGAAATCATAAAGCAGAAGCATCACCAGGAACATTCAGAAATATGAAGATCAGTCATGTAGGACATCTGGGTTCACAACTACTGTATTGTAGAGCATACCAAAGAGAACCCAGCGCTTTGCTTGACATGTTGATTTATCTTCATGTTGCTCACTGCAAAATTCGACTGAATGTGAACTCAAGTGAACCTCTGAGATGCCACAAGATTGGTGGACATTTTGCCAAACCACGAGAGTCAAGCTTGAACAGCAAAGCACCAAAGGTTCATCTTGTTTGAACGCGACATTCCACCAACCAACCTCAGACCCTCATCTGTAACCCTCCGACGGCATTCATCATCAGCATAGCAAGGATCAGAAACCTGTCCTGGCAACATCTACAGTGATCTACAATCCCGTAATCAGAACCATACACTTGTTATTGGCAACAGGTTTATTCCAATAACTCACTTTTAGAGCTTGTTTTGATGGAGCGCTGTACAGTGATGTTTTTTAAATCAAAGCATTTGTTTTGATTAGTGTTATGGGCTATGAATATTGTCACATTCCTTTTTTTGTTCACAAAGCAATTCTTTTGGCACTGATGTTTTTCACGCTTTTTGTCTTCAAGTATGAAGAGGAAAAGGTCTGTACTGTAAATGTAAAGCTTTAAAGTGTATATAAAGTTATGTTTGCAATACCATGTTAATGATAAAGTAAAGGCTTTATCAAAATTATTACATCATCTGTATTCAGTGTGATACCTGTCTTGTTTTCTGAGGTAGAAAGCATCTTCATGCCCGCAGTATTTCTCAGGTGTTCCAGATGGGTTGCAGTGAATGTCTGGAATCATTTTCTCATTTGATTTTTGCCATATGTAAATATTAGGAAAACAATTACTTGACTGAAACAGAAACGTTAAAGATAAAGTGTGTAATTCATGCACCTCTATACCAGCACCAAACTAAATAATAACT